AATTTCATTGCATGCATATCAATGCAATCACTTGCCATTGCAATTGCAATTGATTTTTTTAATATAGTAATAGAAAATTAATTCTTTAATCATAAAAAACACTATAATCTAATAATAAAAAATATTATGTGGCTTGCAACCCATAATTGTATTAAATGCAAGTTTGCACATATGATTATCCATTTATCATCTACTCCAATGAAATTGCATAACACAATTGCGAATGAATGTCATGATGCAATTTGTTTGAGCCAAGATACTCTGAGCCCACCGAACGAGATGTGGTGAAACTTCTCTCTTCGCTATAAGCGCCCGGACCCTGCAAAGACAAGTACCTAGAGGGCTTGGGTACGCCCGTTAGCACTCCGACGACCAAGTTAGCAGCAATTCTAGAGAGATAAGTGCTATAAGTGGTTTTAGTGAGAGAAGTCAACCTGCTTAAATGCCACCTACCGGGTACAATTTATACTAGTCGAACTTCCGACCAAGCCCCGGCCAACACCTTATTTTGGCCTGAAATATGATCATATAATCAACTTTGGCCCGTGGTTTCAGAAATTAACATCCTGGCCTCAACTATGCAGCATATAGACTCAATTAGCCCGACACATAGTTTGACCGTCAATTTGGACGGTCAACTCCGTTGACCGTTAGTCAACACACCATGTCATTGCCTATTCAGCCTAAAAATCATTAAAAAAATGCAAATTTCAAATTATTTTTCTAATTTTTCTTATTTATTATCAAATTAACCAAAAATAAATTATAAAAAACATAAAATACATTTGATTTTTATTTTTTGGATAATTTGAAAAATGATAAATTTTATAAATTAAATAAAAATTATCAAATTATTTTATATTTTTAAAATTTCCCACTAAAATATAATTTATATCATAATTTTTAAATTTATAAAATTTATTTTGATAATTTTTGGTTAATTTATAAAATTTATCATTTTCAAATATCACAAAAAAATTATTTTATATTTTTAGAATTTTATTTTTTGGTTAATTGGAAAATGATAAATAATAGAAAATAGGAAAATAATTAGAATTTAAATTTTTTAATCATTTTTAGGCTGACTAGGCAATGACATGGCATGTTGACTGTTGACCGTCCAAATTGACGGTCAAACTATGTGTCAGGCCAATTGAGTCTATATGCTGCATAGTTGAGGCCAGGATGTTAATTTCTGAAACCACGGGCCAAAGTTGATTATATGGTCATAGTTCGGGCCAAAATAAGGTATTAACCCTTAAATGTTTGGTCTGGCCCAACGTCTAAGTGCCTATACGTGGCGTGTTACCAGTTCTTGCGTCGGGGTGCATGGGGGGACCATCTGTCCACGTGGTGCTTTTTCGGCTTTCCCCTGTCGTACTCCTTTGTCCACAAGCCTCTTTTGTCGTCATGCGCCTAGATACCAAACCAGGCCATGCCATTTCGGGCCTTTAATGGGCTTCAGGCCCATTGGGTGTTCTTCCTCAGTGGGCTTATTCATACTTCCCCAACACAATTCAAACTGAAATTTTAATAGCTTAGTTTGGCCTTGTTGTAGGTTTTGCAGAAGCAACTTCTAGGTGGAGCTTTTAGAAAAGTACTTTTCAAAAAAAGCAGTTGAGTGTTTGACTGTAAAACTATTAGAAGTGTTTTTTAATATGAGAGGTTGTGTAAAATGACTATAAAGGACTTATAATATAAAATACGAATAAAAATTGGAAACAATAAAAAGTGGTCAAAATGTAATTTCATTATTTATTTTATTTTTAAAATGATATAAATGAAGGAAAATTATATTTTCTGAAATAAAAATAAATACGGTAAGGATAATCTTTTATTTTCAAAACAGCTTTTCGCAGAAGCTCCAAATCGGAGCTTCTGCTTTTATGTTATGCAAAAGCGCTTTTTGGCTTTTCAAAAGCTGAGCTTTTAGAGGTGTTTGACCCTACTTAAACTTTTGAAGCTGAAAATCACTTCTAAAAGCCGGGCCAAACATAGGCAGTGTAATTGACCTTATGGAAGAAAACTTGGTAGATCCAATTTTCTCATACTTTACAATATTTTAGTTTGTAATCTTCCTTTAAAGTAGTATTAGGGGTTACTCAAATGAAGCAATGAAAGAATGAGAAAATTTTGGTCAATTTACTCAATTTATAATTTATAATGAGACAATGTCAATTATCTGTCCTCGACAATTATAGAACATTTTAAAAATTCATCAAAAATTTTCAATCAAATTTTATATTGTCAAACAATATTACTCAATTATCTCATTCCAAACAATAATTCACAAAACTAAACATCCTTTAAAGATTCATATTCATATTTGGCTCATTACACGCACTACCAATCTAATTGATTGTTTTTCCTTACAAATTTACTGTAACGTGTAATGAACACATAGAAAACTGCATGGATCACAGACATCCAAGTCGTTGTAGTATAGTGGTAAGTATTCCCGCCTGTCACGCGGGTGACCCGGGTTCGATCCCCGGCAACGGCGTTTTAAATTCTTCCTGCTATAACTGTTTTCCTCGCGACCTGACTGGCCATCTGTTTGACCCGACTGTATGCGCGTTGCATTGCCCCCTAATTCGTCGCATTTACAAGTGCAGATAAGTTGTTCGACGATTTGCCCGTGAGAAAACTTTTGGTTGCTCGCAAGATTTTTTGGTCATTTACAATGATCGATCGAAGGAGATATCGTCAACATGCTTGCTTTCTCGAAAGGAACCGTCGCAACGGGCGGCGGCTATGTTTTTCTTGCTGCTGAACAACTTCGTCGCGGGAAATTGGGCGAGAAGTCGGCGTCGCTGCAGCTAACAACGACAACGACGATATTTGCACTAATTGGTGGCACCCATCCCTAATCAGTTCCAAGTAAGTAAACTTTACGCAATAGTTCATGTTGCATTGTCTTGGGGGGAAATCTTTCAATTTTCTATAGATAGCTTGTTGGTCCCAACTGCAATTATGGGAAAGAGGGGGCGATCTCCAAAGAGATCATATCGAATGTCATGTTGGTTTGATTGGTCCCAATACGAAGGAAACAAGTGAGGAGCAGAGCAACCATTAGTCCTTCACCTCATTATGATATCTTCCAGCCAATGCTATACTCTACCCATCTAATGGGGTCTGTAGTATGATCCTGGGGGGCTGCAAATAAGGAAGGGAAGGAAGGATTACTTCTCCAACTAACCTTTCCTACTACCCTCCATTTCCTTAGGTCCATGTTAGGCCTCTATAGCCCATCATAATTCATAAGGTTTCATTATGCTGCTACAAACAAGATTGTATCCATCCAAAGCTCTTGATTTCAAACTCCCTATCATCATGTGTTGAAATATAATGGCTTGCCCCAGTTGCACAGCGTCTCTCATATTTATGGCTGTCTGGTGTAGTTGTTAAAAACCATACCAAACCAGGACCCAAGTCTTAGTTTCTTCTACTTATTCTTGTCAGATGATGATTGTCTAGGTCTTCGAAGTAGATTCAAGTCATCATTCCTTGGACTTTGGCTGAGATCTGGAACAAAAATTTCTCCTCAACGAAGTGAGTTGCTTCAGTGCATTTGGTAGGCTTCTCTCAGAAGCCCTGCAGTTTAAGTGCCAGGCCATAGGAGTCTTTCTTCTTAGACTATGAATTTATGATTTCTATATGCAACCCAGTTGTGATAAGACATTGTTTATTGCATCTGTACAGTTTTGATATTACTTCCCATCAAATAACAATGGTCAAACGCCAAGCTGCCCAAAGGGTGTAGGTTGTATACGTCATGTCCATTAGTTGAGTTGAGACAATTGTGGGTTACCACAATTTTTTGTTGTTTTCAAAACGAAGGAAATCACATTGACTTTCTCTTTTAATGATAAAATCTTCTTTGGATGGGTGATGACGTTCCCCTTTTATTTTATTGCACATCCTTCCCCTCCCATCAGACAGAATCTAGATGAAAAGCCCCCTTTCTAATCCTAGACAGTATATCCACCCGATTTTGTTCTTTCTTTATTTTATTTTCTCTACTCTGAGAAATTACACACTCTATTTTTCTAGCCATGTGCATTTTTCATGACTGTAGAGTGGTTCTAAGCTGAACTTCCTGGGTAATGTGATCATCCCAAACCATTTTTTCTCTGCTACATGCCCTCTCCTTGATACTTCGTTTCATCTAGTTTTTAGGTATGCCCCTCAGGAGCCTAGTGGTTCTAGGTGTGTATATGATGGTTCTTCATGTGATGAAATGGCGACTTCCATGCCTATAATAGTAAGTGTTAAACTAAAAGCAATGCTGAAGAATTCAACATACTCCTATTCCTATAGTACAAAGCAAACTGATAGAAAACTAATAATCAAAAGCAAGTTAATATGTTTGTTTTTTCCTTCTCTGTTTGAATAAATCATCCAAAACTTTCAACAGTAATGGCAATGGATTGGATTCCTTTTCAAACATTACAGCAGCTAATATTTGGTAATTGAGTGAGACAGAAGACAGAACAGCAGCTACTTATTTGGTTTTTCAGTGTCTCACAGTCAGCTTTTGGTCCTGTTTTTTGAGGCCTTCTTTCTTGATTACTACAGTTGTGGAGTTATATGCACGAATCATGGTTTAGTACCGTAATTTTGTCCAGCAGTACATACGCTAGCTACGTCCAAACATGGGGACAACTTGAAGCAGTCAAGTAAAGAGAAGTAGCACGAGAATAGTTAAAATTGCATTCCTTTCTAGCAGATAACCCTGATACAACCTTCTAGTTCAGAAGCCCATAAAACTTAAAACCCCCCCAAAAGATAGATTTAATAAGCTAATAAACATGGAAACATGAGTAAATGTAAACCAACCGTTGGTAGGAAGACACTACTACTTGCCTAAATAACCGAAACTGGAACAAACTACTACTGTTGAGACTATGGATTTTACACAAAAGGGGTGTCCTTTATCCTAGTAGGGTCATAATATCAGCTTCTTCCACTCCTTCTAAATCTCCCTGCAGCTGCCAGCATCAGTTACTGCTGGTGTTAGCATGGTTCTGGTTGGAGCTTGAACCCAGGTTGAGGTCAGGAATATTGTTATTAGATGATTTTCCTTTTGGGTTTCCCTTCGAGAGCTTCTGTTTGAGTTCAGAGAGCAATGCCTGATTCTCCTGGTTGAGAAGCTGCGCTTTCTTCCTTAGCCTCTCATTTTCTTTCATAATGTAGCAGTTCTGCAAGTACAGCTTTGAGTTCAGTCTATCCATTTGGTAGTGCACAGAAATATGTTAATATTTCCCGAATGCCTGAATGCCCTCCTGAAACCTGAATACACCCAAAAAGAGAAAATATGAGATTCGGAAAGGAGAATCTTAGATATTATAATTTAATAAAATACAGCAAATAGAGACAACATTGTAATGCAAAATCCTTGTAAAGTAACATATTTATCTAATATATATTCAATAATAATGATATGGTTTCCAGAATATCTACAAATTTTAAATACGAGTAGCTTACATAACAGAACGAAAATCACAAGATGATCAATGCAATCCTAAATAACTCAGAATCTAAGGTAGAATGATCTCCATTCAGTTACCAGAGAAAGTTATCAAAGAAATGCAATAAACAATAAACTGCAGAGTAATGATCGCTTCCTGCCTCTGATTAGTTAATGCGATAAAGAAGCAGGGAAAACAGAGGACTCAAGAAACAGAGGGAAAACAGATCAAGTGAAATGGTAAGAACCAATTTACAATGATGGAATGGCCCAACTCGGTTTAATATGTCGAGCACAGTGTGAGTTGTCCAGAAAACGAAAGGCGGAAATGGGAATAACAGGTTGTCCACATCTATACTCATCACAAATGGGGTCTCTTTCGGTTTGCCAAACATGTAAGCAAAGGATAATAAAGACTAGTATGAATGACTCAAACTACAGAGTGAACTAAACTTCTGTCTCAACTTTGAACCAAAAAAGGTGCAAAATTTAGTTCGTTGAATCATACAAAAATGGCTTCTTCTCCTATAGAAAGGCATAAAAATAAAAAAGAAGGAAATCCAACGAGGTCAGACAAGCAGAAAATAGGACATGACCTCCTCAAACTGAGGTTAAAGCAAGAGACAAGTCAAAGAAAACTAGTAGAGCAACTGGTGAAGTCGAACTAACAGAATCCGAAGAGCCCTTTTAACACCAGACACAAAGAGAAGTAGTACCACCAATATAGACGACCATACGGAGTTTATCCTTTCTTTCTTTGTTTGTGCAAAGGAGCAAGAAGAATGTATAACTATAAGACAGACAGAGGGAGAGAGAGGTGGGGTCTGGTTGCCTTTTCCTCTCTTTATATTTTCAAAAAAGATCACCTTTTGTTGTTGGTTAGAGAGCCTTCTTAGGAGCCGCGAAGAAGCTCTCTGGCTGCAGCTGCTGTTTTCTTTCTTTCTTTGCTGCTAGTTTGTTTGTTTGGCAGTAGTAGCACGTTATTGGAGAGGTTAGAACAGAGATATCTGTGGAGGAATGGGAAAAGGGAAGTGAGGGACAAAGGGAACAAACGAGAAGTGGTTATTATATAGAGCCAAAAGCTGGAATGGAATAGGGAGAGATGGCTGTCTGGCTGCCCTTCTTCGCCCTCTGTGATTATGGGTTGAGAGAGAGAGAGAGAGAGAGAGAGAGGGGAGGGGACATGCTTCTCTTCCCTGACACAACAATCATGCATGTGTAAGCATGGAAGGCGGCCGGTTAAGACCCAAAAAAAAAAAAAAATCAATGTTACATTTTCTTCCTTCCTTGCCATTGTTGTTTTTATTTCTCGTGAGGTTAGAACTAGAAGAAGGATGTTCTCTGTTGTGTTGTGAATGATGATGAAGGATATGAGGTCATGTGAATGATGATGGTGCTGTGGATGGTGAAGAGAGGAGGGGTATTTTTGTCACAGAGAGCTGCCATTATTATTGACATTAGAGTGACAATTATGGATATTTGGGGGCCTAAAGAAAATCCATCTCTGTAAAAAGAGAAAAATAAATAAAAAAGAGAGAAAAAAATGATGGTGGGGTGGCTTGGCTAGGTGCCGTCCCAAGATTCGCAATGATGGTTTGGATTGGTTCTAACCATCATCACCACACACACACACACACATTAACCCCTCTTCACCATTTCCCATCATCAACTCTTCCTCTTCTTCTTCCTCCTCTACTTCTTCTTCCACTCCATTACAGTTTTGGACCCTTTAGTTTGCCACTTTCCCATATTATTTCTTGGTTTGGCAACTGTGGGTAATAATTATGATTTCTTCTTTTGCTGTAATATCTTTTTTTGAACCATTTCTGAACAAGAGAGAGAGAGAGAGAGAGAGAGAGAGAGAGGGCAAAGGTACAACCAAAAGTTTGGTGGTTTTATTGTACACCAATTTTTGCTATACCCAAAAGTATGGTCTTCATCTATTAATGCCTATACTGTATGTATCACTTTAGATTTCTCATGAATAGTTCAAAGTCTTGGACTGGATCATCATAATGGTTTTTTTAGGGTTATGTTGGATTAACTCACTCACATTATATACATGGAATGGAACAATATAATGTGCAGCAGGTAGGAACTCGAAAAGACATGTATAGCTACATTACATACAAAACATGAGTCTCGTTGGCAGTTTTCCCCCCCTCTGGTTTTGGTTTTTTGTGAGTTATTATGGTTGATGGTGTTTTGTTTTACGTTATTAGTATGATGATAATCATTGTAATTGTAATTATAAGCATGGCATCATAAGGTTAAAACTAAAAGCAGCATTTTTGCTTGGCTGCCACCATATCTAATAAGAGGAAGAGGGTGGGTTGAAATAATTAGAAGAGAAGAGAGGGTGAAATGGGTAATGAGTGCCTTAACGTGAAACATCATGGCCTTATGCCAGAGTGTGCGTCTCTTCTTTTCTCCTTTTTTTCCATCTCCAAAAGGGGCAAATCTGTCATTTGAGTTCCAGGCCCCTCGTGGAGCTCGTTCATGCAAAATAAAAAAAGCCATATCTGCTATATACTTCCAATTGTGGATTTCCTATTGCTTTTTTTTCTTCTAATGTTTGAGCGTGAAATGACTGAGCAACCCTTTTAACTTTGCAGGTTTTAGAGAGAGATTTGAAATTGCTGGAATTACCAGGGTGGATTTTTAACGTGTTCATGAGGTAATATTAACGTTAACATAATTCCTTCTGCTCTCTCTCTCTTACCAAAAAGAAGAAGACGGAAAAAGCAAGAGGAGAGGCACCATAATACGGCATTAACTGTTATTATGATGCTGCAAAACTATCATGCAATGTGGTTGTGCTTTCCTCATTTTATGCTAATGCCTTAATTATATTTGCTTTACTACTTCAATGGACTCGAGACAGCTATATATAGAGATAGAGAGAGAGAGAGAGCTTCTCTTTTGTTTTTAACTTTTGGGTGGAGTGGAGGTGTGAAATGGGTTTCTCTTTTACTTTACTGTGAACTTATGATTGTTTTGTTTGGGGGATTGGATTAAATTATTGATTTAGAACAATCTGAAACACTATGTTTGTCACCATCTTAGGTAATTAGATTAGGCATTCTTTTAGGCAAAGTGGGATTGCATGTTTGCAACAAAAGGGACAAGGGATGGACATCAGTGTGGGGATATGCCTTGTCTACCTGGCTAACCAACCACTTTTTGGTTCAACCCTTCTCTTCTTTGGCACTTCTTTTCCTAGATAAATGATAATTGTATTGGAAGAAAAGGAAGAAAAATATTACTGTAGGCAAATGATACAAATATGGTTTTCCCCCCCCCCCCCGAAAATTATTACTCTCAATATGATCCTAAAGCAGTATTAATGTATTTATAGCTTACATCTAGTTTCAAATGACTACAATCACTCTCATCACTTCTTAATTGCTTTGCTTATCACTTATATCATTTTGTCAAGATGGCTGATACGAGTTACTATGCTACCCAGTTCTTGAGTTGGTTTTGGTGTTGGTTTCTTAGTGTATATGATTAGAGATGTCAATTGAATTGAGATTCATGGTACTCAATTCGATTCGACTCAGTTAAAGCGAGTCAATGTTGACGGATATTTGGATTGGGTGCGAATTTTCTTTTTTTAAAGTTGGCGGGTTGGTTTGGTTTTTGTCAAAACCAACCCACTTTCATTCGACCCGCACCCAGAAAGCAAACGACGCTTTTTGTGTTTAACCTTAATAATATTGCTAATTTGTGGATGTTATTAGTCTTTATGACGGTATCTTCCTAACAATATGGATAATAACGGATGTTACTAGTCTTTATTGAAATATATTTGTAGGAAATTTTCGATAAATATTACGATTTGTGTGTTCAGAGAACTAATGTGCGGTTATGTTTGTGAAACCACTGGTACTCATGCATCCGTGTGTGTCGGTGGGTTGCGTTTTCTCTTCTAAAACTCGGTCAATATTTAACTGTATTTTTTTATGGTGTACTCGTTGGGTTGAGTTTGAGTTGAGAGAAATTCGATCCACTGTCATCCCTATATGATATTTGGTTTAATTTGTCAAATAATTTAATATTTATTCATCGAATTATGGTATTTATATTTGGTAATTGGTTTAGTTGTAATTTTGAGTTTTTATTTTTCTAAATTCGTTATAATTTTCTTTTTCTTTTTTGGTTAATAATGATAATGTATTAATGTTGATTTTGTGCTTTTATAGATTTTAGACATTTTGCACATGTTGTTCGATAGAGTTCGGAAAAAGTAGAGAATAACTTTGACATGAATTTCATTGGTGATAGAAGTTTTCAATTCACAGTTTCACGTTGTGTGACATATCAACAATTATTTTAGAATATAATTTTTGAGGATATGGGGTCATAACACCCTATAACATACTAACACTATCACAAGTTTTACTTACAAACTTACATAGTGAAAAATAATGGTGATTTATTTCATTATGTTGTTCCTATTGTTGATGCTGGTGCGATGTATATGTTATTTTCTATTTTATGGCACATAATCATTTTTGTTAGGGGGTTAAGGTTCATGCTGATATTGGTAATATTGGTGCGTTAAAAGATGAGACATCACCATGGATACTCAAGTGAAGATAACGAACTAGAGGAGGAAACGTACAAGCCAAAAGAGCTAAGGAATGAGCTTGACGAGTAAAGAAAAGAGGTCGGTAATCCTCTAGAGCATTATCATCTTGACGCTAATGTTATGTCTGAGACCGTGAAACACTCGATATCGCCCCAATCGAGTTTGAGTAT